ATTTAATGTGCACTATTTCTGGCAGTCTGCTTAGGCCTTTAGTTCCAATCTGTTTTCCTTCATCCAATCCATTACCGCTCATAGACAGTCATTAAGAGGAGAGATGCCATCTGAAGTCTGAGTCAATGATCTAGTCATGGAGAAGTATATCTGGGTGTCAGCAGCATACTGATGACACCGTGCTCCATGCCTCTGAATGATATCACCCAGTGGCTTCATATAAATATTAAATAGCATCGGGGATAGGATGGCACCCTGAGGAATGCCACAATTAAGCTTGCTTTTGGAAGAACAACTGTCCCTGAGCCTCACCCTCTGGGATCTGCCTGAGAGGAGGAATGGAACCACTGCAAAGCAGTGCCCTCGATTCCTAACTCTCTCAGGCAATTCAAGAGGATGGAGTGATCTATTATATCAAAGGCCACTGAGAGATCCAAGAGACCAGCAGGGTCACACTACCTCTGTCGATGCCCAGGCGGAGGTCATAGGTCAGAGCAACCATGGCAATCTCCACTTCATATCCTGTCCTGAAGCTGGTTTGAAATTTATTGAGATAACTGGTTTCATCCAAGACTACTTGGAGTTGGGAAGCAACTGCCCTCTCGATCACCTTGCTTGAAAAAGGAAGCAAGGAGACTGGTCTATAATTATTTCTATCCAGGGGGTCCAGGGAAGGTTTTTTTTTCAGGAGTGGCCTAATGGCCGCCTCCTTCAAACACAATGGTACAATACCTTCCCTGAAGGACACATTGATTGTATCCCATAGGAATACTCTCAACACATCTCCCCGGACAACCAGCCAAGATGGACATGGATTGAGATGGCAAGTCGTCTTCCTCATTTTTCCAAGGAGCTTGCCCACATCATCTGTACTCACAGATTGAAACTGATCTAGTAAATTACCATCAATGGAGTTGCCGGACACCTCGTCTACGGATTCTGTCAAAACAATGGCGTCAAAGTCGGATCTTATCCGAGAGATTTTATCTACAAAGTAGGTATTAAACGTGTTGCAGCAGGCTGTCATTGGGTTAAGTAGGGGGCTTGGCACCAGAGGAACCTTTGTCAATGCCCCCACCACCCTAAACAGCTCTGCTGGATGGGACTCTGCAGACGCAATGCGTGCAAGTGCAGAAAGATCTCTGTGCTGCACACAAAGCCTCCTGATAGGAGTCAAGATGCATCCTATGGCTTGTTCTGTCGGATGGGAGCTGAGTCTTCTGCCATTCGTACTCTAGTCATTGTCCAGCTCACTTCATCCTCCTAAACTCCTCTGTGTACTGGGGCTTACAATTAGAAGTGGGCTGGAAAGGACGCTTGGGAG